AAAAATGCCAAAATTCCAAAAAGGTGCTAAACGAAATAAAACAAAATTCTTAATATTTCTCATAGCAGTGAGTGAGTGTTAAAACACAGTCTATACTGGGAATGTCTGCACCTCAAGTCAAAATGTAAACAATCTACAGACCTATCAGCTAATAGCTCAACTGCAAATTGTGTCTTATCTTTAATGAAAATTCATTTTTTAAAGATATTTTACCCATACATTTCACAGTTGTCCAACATGTTCACATGGCAGCTTACAGCAGATAACAACTTGAAAAAAACTGTATTACAATCTGAAAAGTCCAGCAATTTCACTATAAACTGCAGGTATCACAGGGAACAAGGAATTTGCTTCCCCTTTCCTGCAATAACAGCCTCTGCTCTTCCGGGAAGGCTTTACACTAGATGTTGGAACACTGCTGTGGGGAGTTGACTGCATTCAGCCACAGGAGCATTAGTGAGGACAGGTGCTGATGTTAGATGATTAGTTCTGGATCACAAACTCATCCTAAAGTTATTGGATGGTGTTCCATTGCACCAGAGAACACATTTTCACTGCTCCACAGGAGTTTTATACTCCTTTATCCGACGCATCCCATTAGGCATGGTGACCTTAGGCTTATGTGCGGCTTCTCCACAGTGTCCTATTCTGCTGGTGACGCTTTCCTATAGAGATTATACAAGCTGTGCAGGCACAATTAAACGCTTTGGTCAACAATGGATGCACTTTAAAGTAGCTAAATTCACTGACTAGAAGGGGTGTCTGAACACTTTTGGAGTCCACATTCAACTAGATTCAAGAATTACTACTGTATCTTGGTTATGTGGTCAATACTGTTTAATTACATAATTAAGTAAAAGAGAGAGATTACACTAGTTTGGGATCACAGTCACATGAAAAGAAATCAACGTAAATGCACCATAAAAAACAGAAGAGAGCCTAGAAATTATCTGGTCAAGGAGGATAAGTGTCAGAGTTCAAAGGCACGACAGCCACCCTCCTGGGTTCAAACATAAAGCTAATCTGGAGGCAGCTCTGTGCTAAATTGGGAGCCATAGGCGAGTGATCAGTTGATGCTCACCTCGAAGCCGCCTGCTGTGATCGGCATGCATGCTGCACATGGCCAGTGCAGCCACTCGCCCACGCAGCAGGCTCCCGATAAAACACACAGAATGCACTTCTTGTTTAAAGCTCACTGCTAAACTTGAACTGTTTTGAAAACAAGTGTCCCACAGGGGTGAAGATTCTGCTATATGAGAAAGCATTGGAAAAGAGAATACAGAATCATCACTGAGATGAGAGTTGCTCGAGAGAGGTAGAGAAAGTGAGAGTAAGCAAGCCTTGATGGAGAGCACTGACTCTTATTTTGTGGTCACTGGTGTGTGGAATGTGCTGGACAAGGTCAAGATGTGAAACAAGATAAAACAAAGGGTTAGTGTGTCTTCAGTTAAGTAAGACCCCTGCAGTGAGGACACAACTGAGCTGAATGTTACTGCCAGCCTCCATACAGAATATGCTAGATTTAAAGAAGAGGTGCACAACATATAATCATTATTATGTATTATGTATTTCCATATCAGAATTACAACTGATGATAAGATTCAAGAGCTTTATTGTCACATGCACCATAAAACAGGAAGTTACAAGTGATCGGCAACAGTGCACAGTCACTTGTTTTTCTCAAGCTCACTGAAATGGAAAACATAGGCTGTTTTGACTCTTGTGCTATTTTCTGGACCCAAGGAGTGTGAAAGCTGTCTTCGAGCCTTGACAGCAATCCAAAGAAAGAGAGGTCCTACCAAACCGGTGGTCTGTTGTGGTCTGCAAAAAGCTATATGCTCTGTGATGAATTTTGTCACATGATGAGGAAGGAGATGGAAAGTGGTTCAAGTACTAATACTGCGAGTTGTGCAACAAACACAATCTTAAAAATGCTACATGGTAAAATCTTCCCAAATGAGAAAGGCTCCATTTATACATGCAATAATGGTTGTTCATTACTGCTTGTGTGTTAGCAGCCCACTAAAGCAATAAAGCAATGATAAAGGTATGAACATATTGTTGTGCCATCCCTTTATTGTCAAAAACTGTAAAGAGATGAACCCATTATCTACCATTTTCCAAAAACAGTGCACACTATGGTGCTCTATGGAACTGTGCAATCGATCCATGGGTCAATTTTTTTTTTTGTGTGTGAACACAAACCTGCAATAATGAGCTCTTCACCAAATGAGACCCAGAGCCAGTCCTGGCTGCAGAGTCAAGTATTCGGGGCAAGGGATGTGCACAGGTACTCATCTACTCAGTTAAACTACTTGGTTCAAGGTGCAAGTATTCAAACACTGAAATCACTATCTGGCTACTTGTTATATTTCATCATAAAAAGACAATTCAGAGAAACAGTAAAATAGGACTGTAAAATCCAAGTTCTGGTGGTATCTCTGAGTATATCTGTTATATTACTCTTTGCTACAAGGAAACGCGTGTGCCTAATTGTGAACATGTTGTCAAGGACGAGACTGAGAAGGCAGAGAAGGCGGCAAGCTCTGGCGCTGCTTTTGTGCTAACTAGGCTAACTGCTGTTACTGATGCTAGTTATGTCCAGAAGCAGTGAAAACATACATACTAATACTCTGACAAACTAATATACTGGCACATCATCTGCTGAAGAGAAAAGATCTCAAGTAGAAGTCTCCATCAGCATCCAGCGCTGTACCAGTTAGTATCAGCTTCTAAGCACCTTTGTAGAGCCAGGCTCCGCTACTCTTCCAACATGACAACGTACTAATTTCACTTGGCTTTTTATAAGTTTTAAAATTTTAACCTCTAGTGACTATGCTAATTTTGGCCAAAGTCTGAGTTTGTTGTTGCTTTTCCTTCACTGCGGTTAACTTGATATCTGATCATTAACTCTTCCAAATGTACAAATATCAAAATTAGTCACATCCCTATTCGGAACAAACGTAAAAACACCTACAGTGTGTCTCACACACACAAGGTCAAATGCTGTATTCTGTGTCCAGACAAAGTCATTGTTATGTCATTAAGAGTCCTAGGACAAACTCCTAATGTTAGTCACCTACTGTTGTAAGTCGTTCAAGATAAGAGCGTCTGCAAAATATGTAAATATAACCACAATGAGGCATTAATGATTGGTCATCATGAAACCAGAAATTCCACACTACTGCATTCGTAATTCAGAGAATTCCAGTGAACTGTCCACGATGTAATCAAGCGGAAGAGGAATTGATGGAACAAACTTATACGTACAGTATAAGTGTACTGTAAGGCTTTACAGCCCATACTGACATAACACATACTGTTTTTATGTGCAAGTGGCAAAACAGTGAAAAAATAACTGCAACTCACACTCTTACACACACACACACGTGAACGTGAAAGCTGTATGATGTGCAACCTGCTCTGCCCTGCTCTGTTTCCTGTGGATCCAGTATGGGGAGTTGACCTCTGACCTTGTTGTGTCAAAGAACAGAGGGGCCTTTAACCACACAGCTCAACTCCACCTATCGAGCGAGGGACATGGGGTGTGAGAGTGTGTGTGTGTGGGTGTTTGTGTTTTGAGCATCACAAGCAAGTGAAGGGACTTTGTTAAAAACCAGCTGGCCTTAGATCCGCGTGTTTCTGTTAAAAATAGCAGAGAGCTTAGACATTATTGCTGACGTTGATTATACTGTAACAGGTGTTCATTTCAAACACACTCACATTCTCTCACTCTCTCTTTCACACACACTCGTGGGCTACTCTTTGGGCATTTTCAGACTTTTTTTTCAGGTTTGTTTGCTCGGTATGTATGGTCTGGTATTAAAGCTGTTTTGGAGTCTGAAAGCAGCCCACAGTGCTAATCCCTTCTCCTCCTGTAAAAGGTGATCTAAAGAACATGAACCCTGGTGAGCGTTTGTGAAAAGCTATCCACTCCCTGTGCTGCACACTGAGTAATGTAATTGGTTAATTTTGTCACATTTCTCTGTGTTTCTAGATCTGTAAAGGTAGTGAAGTAAACAAAGCGAGGAGGGTGCTTGTACTATATCACGAAAAACACATCTTATGTCGTCCAACATGGCTAAAAATCTTGCGAAGTGAGAACAGTTCGTCCTGCTCCGAACTTCCAAAGGAACATAATAATGGCATGATCCTGCTGTTAACTGCTGTCCCTTTTATTTTTAAAAACAGTAAAAGGATAAAAACAAATTATCAATTTGCAAAAACTGGACGGACAAAGCTGCCATATGAAACAGTTCAACCAATAAACAATTCAGAAGGAATTTTCCTGCATGAAAACAACCTGTAGTAACGGCTGCCCCCCAAAATGACCATAGAATCACTCTTGGGTGCAGACTCAGGTATTGGGGACAAGTGTGAAAACACCCTCAGAGAAAGAGTGCTGTTTTCAGACATTAACACACACATACCAGATCACAAGCATGTGTCTTCAGAAGACAAACTTCAGGTTCAGTTTACCTCAGTCAAAGCTTTGAAGTCTGAAAAATCTACCCAGTAATAGTTTACTACTGACAGTATTTGCACTCAATAGATCAAATGGATCACAAATTTGCCTAAGTTACAGAAAATGCTTATTACATTATTATTTTTTACTTGTTCATTTATTTATTCAGACTGTTAATTACTGATTTAACAGGATTCAGTTCTTTTTACAAACCTACAAGCTCTATGATCTGTGCATGAAATGACACTTTGTTAAACTGTAATTCAGTTGAACTCAGAGATACATGTTAGCAGGGACTGAACAGTAATGACATCATCCACAAATATAGTCTCACTGACTCACATATACAGAGATGAAAGTAATCTAAGGTCCAGAAAGCTCTGGATTGCCCTGGAAAGCTGAAGTGTGGTAGATGCATCACAGAACCGTGTCACAGCATAAGTCAGGCAGAAATCAAATTCTCAGTTGATTCTGAATATTTAATGATAAAAAAAAATAAGAAAAAGCCACAGAAAGAGGACAAAAAGTAGCTTACCCTGTATTGACGGAAATGATTTCTATCAGCGGGTTCTTCCTAATCTTCGGCAAATCCAATCGAGCTCCCCCCAGTCTCTTGCCATTATCTTTCTTCTGACCCAGGAGACGGACGGAGTGACCTTCGCAGAAAACACACAAACGCATTCGCCGTTATACCTCACTGCAAAGATTCACAATGGCCAAACAGACCTACAGAGAATTATTACTGCTTCTTTCCATCCTGCACAATGGACAATGGAAGCATAAGTGTCAGAAATAAGGAAGACTGGGCAAGCATAAAGAAAAAAAGAATGAAATAGAGGGATGAACGATGTCTTTCTTTGCTGTCTATACCATAAACAGATAACGAGGAGTGCAAGTGTTTAACAAAGATAGAATGTACTCTTGCACGGTGAGTGGATAGAATGCTCAGTGAAGAGCAGCAGTGATAACAGTAAGGACACTGCAAGCAGCACCATGCCTTTCCTGCCTCTTCTTCAAGCACTACTCTGCTCTGTAATAGCTCATAACTGTGGAATGCAGAAAGTAAAAAGGTCTCCAGTGAGCCGTGCCAGCAGACAGGAAGTTACCAATAAAGTTTACACTAGCAAAGGCCTGGCTCCCACTTAGCCACACATCTTAGCAAACAAGTACAAAACTGACTAGAACATGGGACGTGTCTCCCACAATGAATCAAACTGACGCAATTTTCCCCTTAGCCTAAATGTAGACAACCAGCCAAGACATTTTTGGTGCATGAAGATTGCTTCTTTCCTTTTTTTTTTTTGAAAAAACTATGAGGTCAATGTAGCCAACAAGTGAAGCTAAAGAAGCTAAAGAACCAAACTTCAGGCACCATGCATGTCTTGGCGGATTGGTCAGGTCTGAGTTAAGGGGGAAACTCACAAACATTTGTAAACGGGTACAAAAGATTGCTGAACTGTTAATTTTAAACATTGTGACCTGAAGACCCAAATGAGAAAACTGATACCAAACCGGGACCCAAGTATAAAATTATTACTAAACTGAGTTTAGCAAAAAGCTGTGCACGGTTGAAGTGAAGTTCTTCTCTCACTCCCACATTAGCAGTACGCAACTTATCAATGAGAGCGGGGGACTATCTTCTAAGCAATGAAGAAATATCGGTTACATACTGTTAGAAACCTATAAAACATTTGATTTAAATTGATGGCAGGTGCTTGATTCATAATAACATACAGCTAAACAGTCTTAAAAACTGACTGGCCACCAGCTCTTCCTCTCTCCTCTTCTGCTTCATTTTTGTCCTATCAATAATATTAGCTCCATTGTTTCACAGGTTTGGCTGACTGTAGGTATAAAGGTGGGAATATTTATTAGGTTTATACTGGCGTGTATTGCATACTTTCAGACAGCTTTTGTGTTTTTTGTGTCACTGAGGACAAAAAAAAAGACAGGAGGAAAAAGAAATGTATTCACCAAATAATAACAGCGATTAAGCTTCTGTTGCAGCAGTGAGCATTAAAACAAGCGAATGAACTACAGAAGTAAACATGACAGCATAGCTCTGATTGGTCAGCCTGGTGATTAAAGCTTACGCAACACAGGAAATCCAACAGGATCTGTTAAAAATGTTATGCAGTATTGTGTGACCTTCAGACCTTATATGAAATCTTTTCAAAGCCTGACCTGTAGTTTTCTTTCAAATGTAAAAATCAGACTCCGTGTAAGAATGTCTTTCAATCAGCACACAATGCGCACTCTTGCAAATGTACTTCCTCAGAGTCCATATCATGTGGAGAGCCAGAATAAACACATCCACAACAAAATTTTAGTTTAAGAAACACTGCTTTAATACGGTGAAAGGCAAAATTACTTGTTAGCTTTATTAGTCTCGTCTTGCTTTAACAGAGCAAAATAGCTCTTCACTTTAAAATCTGTGAACCTTAATTGAGCTTTAAATTCTTCAATTGATGTAGTGTTTTGAACTCAAGAGCAAGAGCTGCCATGTAGAATCCACCAGGCTAATCTGAGAAAACTGAATTCATGCAGTAATTATTCTACATGCTTGCAAAGACATGAAACCAATAACGCTGATCTGACCTTTCTTGTCTTACGGATTTAACTAGACAAACATTTTTCTCATAAAAAAACTATTAAGGAAATATAAAGCATACTAAGGTTATACAGCGAGAAAGCGGGAGAAAGAGAGAGTGTGACAGAGGGTGAGAGAATAACAGATGACACATGGACCAGTGGAGATCTCTCAGGTGGCAGGACTTTTGCACTGAGGCTTTTTTTAATAAAGCGTCTGGGCAGATGAATCCGATAACGAGCCACCTAATGCTTTTCAAGGTGTCAGGGGGTTCACACACTCATCTAGCTCCTCTGTGCTTATCGTGGACAGAATTTAATTACAGCCTTTGCTTTCAGACTTACAAACCATGAACTAATAGCATTTACTAAATAATTCATCCAACCTATCTACATGCAAATAATTGCATGTAAGGAAGAACACGAGAGGCAAAGATGTAGCAGGTCATTTTCCAATTCGCTGGCTCTGTTAAAAGTCGCAGATCTCTTGTTACTGGGTTCCTCTCCTGCCTTAGGGCTGAAGGAGGGCAGAGGATGGATAAAAAAGAGAAACACCATTACTAGTCAGCCATATCTTTTGTACTTTATGATCCATCCCAGTGCGTCAGTTTAACCCTTAGACATCAATACTATTTAAATATAAATGTGTACATACGTACATCAGTACATAGAGAGGTACATGTACTTGCATTAAATGCACGCATTTACATTCTGCTGTTTACATGCTCAACCTTTTTCTTTTCATGCTAGAAATGACAAAAAAGTTAAAAAATATAAAACAAGAACAAATTTACAACTTATCAAAATCAAATCACAATAAAATATTTCCTCTTCCATTTATGAACACAAATGTGTATTGACCAACTGCCAACAAAGCAAAAACTGTATGGTTTGGTTAGGATACCAGGCTGTAACACAGTGTCTGCTGTGAAAACTGTTATACAAAAAAATGTAATTAATTTGAAAAAGAGAAAAGGATGTCAAGGTTTTCCAAAAAAGGTTTATGTGCAGGAAAGCACAGTCGAGCTTTGGCCCATAGCTTGCAGAAACTCAGAAGACAGCTCCTGGGCCAAAAGCCAAGCATGTAGTAGAGAGGGAAGCTTAAATTTAGGCTTCTAATACATACAGTATGTCCAAAAGTACAGCCCTTTTCATTACTGAATTCAGCTACTTTAAGGTGTACTCATTGTTGACACGGGCATTCAACTGCATACATACAGCTTGTATAATCTCTACAGAAAAGCACTGCCAATTGAAGAGGATGCTCTGGAGAAGCTGCACATGAGCATAAGACATGAATGCAATCACAGCCTCACAGCAATGTCTCAACTAGGGATGCACTGATACCATTTTTTTTCAGACAGGTACAAGTATGACTACATACTTTTTATTACTTGAGAATACAGAGTCTGATACCACATTGAGTAATCTACTTAGAGTTAAGTAGCAGTTAGTGTGAACAACTGAAATGTACCTTAACAGTTAAATGATTGAAATCTAGTATATTTTAAATGATGTGTATTAGCTATCTATGCTACATTAGTTACCTTGGATCAAGTAGTGCTGTAGCACAGAAGAGAAGGCTTTGTTGGTCAGAAAAGTGCTTCTGTACAGCTGTAAGTAAAGTACAATTCACAGTTTTGAAAGCCGTTCTATCCTAAGTCTCTGTAGCTCAGTTGACAGCAGGAATCACATCTGAGACTAGCACATCTGAGGAGCTCATTTTTGGAGTTTTATGTCTAATGTCTTTTGTTTGGCTGGTTGAGCTGTAGCTGAATGTCCTCTAAAGCCAGACATACACTGTGCATCTGTTCTTGGTGACTTAAGCTGCGCATATGAATAGACCACCATGTACAGACAAAGCCTACGATTTATATACTCACACTGTACGAAAATGCTCCGTCCATGCTGCATGAAACACTCTGTCAATACACGCTTTCAAATAAAGCTGTTTCATTCAGAATAGCACGCTGTGCAACGAGTACTGAGCATAGAGAAACTGAGCAGCGCTGCTAACACTGTGCACTGAAGCTAAAAGCCAGGCTTGTGTATTTTGGGGAAGCTGTTTTGATTATGTGCTTAAAACCAGGCTAAAATCACATAGTGTAGGTCTGGCAGAAATATGCCAAGGCATAATGTCTGAAGCGACCAGTGTTACTAATTCTGTGTCTGACAGTCACAGAATTAGTAACACTTCTCCGTGTGAGCAGAGCCTCCTTCACTGTTTGTTCATTAGTGCGTCAGTGTACACTTGGTTACATCACATGGTATCAAGCTGGTATCGGTGAATTTTAACGAGTATGAGTACATAAATACTGTATTGGCCCAATACCTGATACCAGTATCGGTATCGATGCATCCCTAGTTAAAATCTTGTGTAACACTTCTCCAGGAGAGTAGAGTGCGCTACCTATTAATGCCCATGATTTCAAAAGAAACATTGGATGAGCAGGTGTCCACAAACTTCTCTTACCAAGAAAGCAACAGTGAGAAATAAGGAAAAAAAAAAATCTCTCCACTCTCTTCAGTACTGATGAATGGGTCAGTGTTTGCAGAAATTACTCCATACTGTATGTCTGCTCTCCAGTCACTCTTCAGTCTCACTGGATAAACACACATCTAATTCAGGTGAAGACAAAGTCTTAAGAGTGTTTAAACACATCAGAAAAAGAGATGAATTTAACACTAATTATACACCGATCAGGCATAACATTATAAACACCTCCTTGTTTCTACGCTCACTGTGCACCTACATAGTAAGTGGAGCTGATAAAATGTGGACATTTTATCAGCTCCACTTACTATATAGGTGCACTTTGTAGTTTTTTTTTTTTTGCATCATTCTGTACTCCTTCTGTGCATGAAAATCCCAGGAGATCAGCAGTTTTAGGTAACTGAAAACACAAGATTTAGAAAATGCTCTCCAGAGTGGAGAGCTTTTAAACATTTTCATGTGGACACATGTTTTTGAAAACATTGGTGGATCATTCTGGACTGAGAATAGTCCACCAACCAAAAATATCCAGGCAACAGCGTCCTGTGGGCAGCGTCCTGTGACCACTGATGA